GAGTTCAACACTAAAGAAATCCCCTGGTAGTTACTGCAGTTAAATGTTGATTTGACATGGATTAGTAAATTAGAAGGAGGCTGTAGGTCATTATAAGGCGTTTAGGTAAATCTAGCCGGTTCACTGGCATCAACACAAACAGAAACACATTCTGTTACCAAATACATGATTTAAATCTTGGAATTGTAGTACAAAGATGCACACATCATAGAAAATAGTTGATAAGATGAAGGGAAAACACAGACAGGAAAAAACATGATGCACAAAGAAAAAAAAGGAGCACCAAAAGGTGAAGGAGCATCTCAGGAGAAGAAAACGTCCACGGACAGTGGCTAAAACGGTGTGCAACGGAGGAAAGGTAGAGGAAAAAAACCAAGGCAGACAAGAAAAACCTTGCGGGAAAAGCAAAACCCAAGACAGAGACGAGGAAAATGAAGGGAAGAAGAAGAGAGCAAAACAACGGGGTCGGGCAGACGACTGGGGAGAGGAGAAGGTGAGCAGGGGAAAAAAAAAAGAGCTAAATTAAATGAAAGATTGTTGCTGGCTCAGATGTAGGATGGAGGAGGAGGAAGGAAAGAGGGAAAAAAAGAGGGGGGGGCTCAGCCAGCCGCCCTCTGGGGTTATTGGGTCGTGGACAGCCAATCTCTCTCAGCTTAATCAACAGCAGCAGAGGTGATTGCAACACCGCAGGGGACTGCTGGGAAAAAGAAAAAGATGGAAGGGGGGGGGGGGGGGTGAAGGAGGAAGAGTTTGGAATGAATGGAAAGGCGTGGAGAGGGAGGGAGGTCGATGAGATTGGAAAAATGGCGGCGAGGACACGGTAAAGGGGGGGGGGGGAGACCATCGGGAGGGAAAGAGGCAGATGGAAGTTCTGGGACGAGAGGGGGAAAAAAAAAGAGAAACAGGAAGAAGGGAGGGGAGGAAAGATGTGAGGAAACGGTAGGATGAGAGGAAAACAAATGTGGGCAGTGATAAAAAAATGAAGAGCAAATGAAGAGGGATGAGGGAGAGGTGGAAGAAGGAGGAAAGGACAAGAAAAGGTCTAACAGAAGCTGGTAAAGTGTGGAGAAACAGAAAAGCGGAAGGCTGGAAGATGAAAACCGAGCTGGAGGAGAAAGACCCGCTCAAAATGGAGATGGAGTAAAGACACATAGAAAAGAGGGATGAGGGAACTGAGAAAGAAAACCTGGAGCCGGGGAAAGAAAAGAGAAATTAGGATACAAGCTGACCAAAGCATGGGGAAAGAATTTAAAGCAGTTCAGAGAGAGATGAGGAAGAAAACCCGATGTAAGGAAGCTGTAAAGCAACACTAAAGCAAACCTGAGAAAAACTGCAGAGAAATGAATGAGAGTTCTTCCACAAATCTTTAGAGGAGCAAAAACAACTGCAATTGACATCTGGAAGAACCAAAATGGGACAGGGGAGGAGTTACCTCAAAGTCTCATAGTATTTGAAACATTGCATCATCATCTCTGTTACTATAGTCACAACTGTTTATATGCATCTTGCACTATTGACTGTTTATTTACATTAGCAATTGTTTCCATATACATTTTCAATACCGTACTTTAACTGTAATATGAATTTACCTTCCACTGCACTTTAATTCTGATATATTCTGTCCAAACTTTATTCATTCTGTTTATAGTAATGGCCATCTGTATATATATATTCATAGTACATATTCACCTGTAAACTCTGTTATAGTAACAAACATCTGTGTATTATGTTATGGTTCATATCTGTAAGAACTATTTATAGTAATATCCACCTGTATATTATATTCAGTCCATATCCAGCTGTACATTTAGTTCACAATACTAGTTATCTATATATTAAATCCATAGAACAAGTCTATTCAATTCTGCTTATAATAGTATTTATTTCTATATTTATTCAGTACATATCCAGTTGTAAATTTAGTTCACAATACTAGTTATCTATATATTATATTCATAGGACAATCTATCTGTAAAATTCTGCTTATACTATTTATCTCTACAATTATCCTGCACTTGCTGCTATTGGACTTCTGGTTTGACCTAAACTGCATTTCGTTACCTGTGTAATGACAGAATTTAATCTAATCTAACCTAAAAATAGAGTCCTGTCAGTCCTCTGAGTTTCCCATCTACCGCTCATGTGATGAAGAAGATGAAAACATGCTTACACAGGAGGACCTGGCTGGAGCGTGGTAAACAAAGAAAACTGGGGCACTTTGCAGAGTCAGGGGCGGGGGGGTGGGGGGGTTGTTTGGGTTTTTGCGTCTTACGGAGCTGGTCTCTGGGGTTGTGGTCATTAGTCGGTCCCCCGGCCCGTCCACCTTTCGCCATTGTGAAAATGTTGCTTAGTGTAGAAAAATGAAGATGACAAATGAGAGTAAAATGTGTGTTTTATGTCTGGTTAGCCGTTAGTGATCACTTCTTTAGCTCCTCTGAACAGTTTAAAACATATGGAGGCATAGTGTCCTCATAAAGAAATCACTCATCTGACAACAGAAGCATTTTTACATCATTTTGTTTATTTTAAAAGGAAGACATACCATTATATGTAACTGGACTGTTGACCCCATGTCTTCAGATATATACAGTGCCGGTTTGTAGACTGGAAGCACCTGCCCTGTCACCAAAAATGAGCAGGATTTCTCAAACGTGCCATGGGACTGCACGTGCACGTGCACGTGACACGAGGTGAAGACATGGTTCATGTAAAATGGAACAAAAAAAACCTCCCAAAATAAATAACTCCAACCAACACGAGAGCTTTAGAGTAACCTATTGTGCCCTAGCTGTATGTACACAAACGCTGCATGACGCCTTTTAGGCTTAACACACACACACACACACACAGACACACACACCTCTCAGTTAGCAAAACCTGAATCATGAAAAAGGATGATCATAAGAAATAAAAAGGAAACCTGAACCCATTAGGTACAGGATACATTTCTGCTGTGACCTCAACAGTTCTTTGAAAATATTCTTGTTTAACAAATCAATTCAATGTTAAGAGTGTGAAAGAAATTTAAACTTTCTTTTACAGACACAAACGTGAAAGGACTGAAACCTAAAACCTAAATGAGATGCACTCCTTAAAAAAAAAAAACTGAGCAATCCTTAAGTAAAGCAGTTCCTACTGAATGTGAACATGGATTCGTGTCACTGTGGAAGCCTGGAGAAGCTTAAGCGCTGGCAGGAAGTTGAAATAATATCAGTGTCCATGGAAAAGACTATCCAATGTCAATTTCTAATTGTTTCTTTTAACATGCGCAAAAAAGTAACTGATGGAAACAAGCAGTAAGAAGCTGTAAAATATCCAGAATTCCCTTATCCAGACACAAAAAGCTCTTTTCGACTGCGACTAGTGGTCCAAACTGAGTCCCCATCCCCGTCTGTGGCCCCGAAAAAGCAACAGGGTTCTGCAAAACCCACTGTCCCACAGGGGGGGGTTCACATGGCCTGAGACTACTGCAGCACCCGGGTGAGCGAGCTACTGGGACCAGGGCGCCACAGGTGGGGGGGCTTTATGCAGACATGGTTAGAACTAGTTAGCTTTGCATGTGATTGCTAAAAAATCCGAACAATTCCCATTGATGCACAGTGCATTCCCTAATATGCTGCTCAGCATGTTCCCAGAAAATTGAGTTCTTAGCTAAACCACTAGAAATTTGATTATATCATCAAATATCTAAACAGGATGCTTTGCACAAATATAAGAATATTAAAGTTGTCAGTAACTTAGGTCACAGCAGAAACATTTACATTCTGAATTCCCTGGGGATTTTTTAAACATTTTTATACTGAGGTAATTCACAATAACCTCAGTCTCACGATTCCAGGAGTTCTATTCAGCCGGCGTAAAAAGGCACGTCATCACGGCGGAGCGGCTGGAAAAAAGCTCACAGGAGCAAACGTCTCCACTTTCCTCCACATTTCTCACACAGCTCCTCAGTTTACGTCTCACACTCCGAGATCAGAGGTGTGTGTAGATGGATGAAAGCAGGCCGACAGGCAGCGGTCAGTCCAAACTGGACCTTCTTCTTTTTTTAAATAAATTTAGAGCCTTGAGTTTCAGAGACTGACCATTGGAGATTCTAATGAATATGATGTTCTGTCTGCATGAGAAATGAAGAGGAATCCCAGGCTGAGGGGTTCTGAGAAGTGTCCTTTAACTGGAACTGAACAGGGACAGAGGTGATGCCAGTTTTAGGATATCTGACCTTTAGGCAAAAGCTTTTTTCTGCCTCGCCTCAACCTCGTTCCGGTCAAGCAGCCTAGCTAACGACGTATTCAAGTAGATCTATGGTTGTCACAGATGTGTACAGGTGTTCATCCCTGATCATGGTATTAATCATAGTAACTTTTCTCCAATATGTGGGCTTCATCTTAATATGTACACCCACTGGTTTATGGATAAAACTACAACAACGTTCGCCTTATTTCCATGACTCAACTGACAGATGTTATCCTAAGTTTTGAGTTTATTGCATGGATGGATGAGACGAGCAGCTTTTCAGCTCATATTAGTTTACCGACTTGTATTTCACCACACGGCTCCCAGAAAAAGCTAACCCGCTTTGTCCCTGATCGCCTTTTCCCTTAAGCTCTTTGATATTTACCCACAGAGCCGCAGTAGCACCAGCCAATCACAGGAATCTGAGCATAGCGGGAGGGGTTACCGGATTGGGGGATGGAGGTCTGAAGCGAGAGGTGAAACGGAAGGTGGGACAGAAACCGGAGGTCAGGAGCTGTTATGGCTCCGGCAAATGGAATGTGAGCTTGGGAAATTTAAAAACTCCAAAAGAACCCCCCAAAAAAAAAAAAAAAAAAGATGTCATGATTTTTGTTTTGTTTTTATCTACACGGACTTTAACTAAAGAGAATCTGCGAAAACCTACAGGTGGACGGAAACTAAACTTTTTGTTTAGGCAGAGACCATTTAGTCCCGTCTCTGTGCCGTTTCAGGCTCGTTGAGATTGTGTGTGTGTGTGTGTGTGTGTGTGTGTGTGTGTGTGTGTGTGTGAAGCTTTCGTGTTTAGTCTCTCCGGGGGGGAGCCTGGGGCTGTGGAAGCGTCCGGGGTGTTTTTCTATGAGGCTTTCTGGTTGGCGAAGAAGGCCTTGGCCTCCCCACAGGTGGGGTTGGTGCACAGGGGGCAGCGAAGGGTCAGCTGGCGGGAGCAGGGCTGGTCAGACTTCAGGTGGGACTGGACCAGGTCTGCAAGGGCCTGCACACGGAAAACACACTCAGTCAGAGGGGGAAACACTACAGAGAAACTACCACACCTACGGGCTGTAAAGAGGCCTTTTTCTTCCCAAAAATACCATGGAGAGGGCGGAAAAAAGGTGATGTCCCAGAGGTTTGTGGGAATTCATGTCCTTAAAAGCAAAAACACAGTCTGGTCTTTTCTTTTCTCTTTTTTGACATTCTGTTGCAGATCTGCTGCCAGGTTGGAAATCGTTGTACCACTAATGAGCCAAAGTTCATTCATTAAAAAAAGTCTTATAGTTTGTTAACTTTCCAAAACCAACCAAGGCTGCCGTTTAATCTTGTTTTTCAAGGAAAGGCTTTTTTTTTTTTTTTAAACGTCAACCTTTAAAAAAAAAAAGCCTCTTTTTCAGTCTTTCTCTGACTGAACCGGTGTGATATGAGGCCGGCAGAGTGGGAGATGTACCTCTCCGACTATTTTTTAAGCACACTTGGATATTTTTTGTCCAAAACACAGAAGTCTTCCAGCTGCTGGTGAGCCAGGTTATCCCTAAATTCTGTATATTAACATGACTGATGGAAAATGTACGAACATGAATTCATACAATTTTGTCAAACTAATAAAGAGAATTCTGCTCCAGACATAACTGGAATAAATGAATGTTGTGGAAATATACATCACAGTGTAAACCGCACACATTTTTTACAATAATTTCCACAAGCTTCGGGTAATTTCAGATTTTCATTTGAAAACTAATGGTCCGTGCAGTTTTTATGAACTGACAGCAACCTTGAAAAAGAGAAGTTCACATCGTCTCAGGAAAATTCTACCGGAGACTAAAACGAGCAGACTGGGATGAGCAGGTAATATGATGGAAGCTCTCTGAAAACATGGAGCTACCAGCAGGGCTTTGGTGGGAATCCTGATGAATGCATTTCTCTTTATTTTCGTCTCGCAGACGGCTGCAGCTCACCAAGAAACTCAAACTACACCAAGGAAACCATCCTTCAGTAACTACCAACTAATCATCCTCTGGATATTGATTTCTGCACACACACACACACACACACTCGCACACACACACTTAGAGACTGTGGTGAGGGGTCTCTGAGCAGGTCTGACCAGCCAGCCAGCCGGGCGGTTCAGTTCTACTGTAGTCAGCTCTAAAGGTTTCCATTGATCTGCCCCCTTCCTTTAATAAACCCTGCAAACACACACACACACACACACACACACACACACACACGCTCACACGAATAGCTGTTACAGCTGGAGGAGTTGCCTGTTGTGAGGAAGGGTTCGGGGTTGAGGATTGAAGGAGGGAGGGATGACAGGAAGAATGGAGACAAAGGGGAGAAAGAGGGGAGGCAGAAAGGGAGAGGAGAGGAAGGAAGGAGGGAAGTATCCGTTTATTGAGCGGGCATGCCTGCAGTTCACTTTATTCACAGGACCTTCTCCAGCTGTTTCTAGCCCTTCTCGCTCCTGGGTTTTTGTTAGTCCTGCCTCTGCTGCTGCTCTCAAGGTTTAAAGTCTAATAACTTTCGATAAACGAGCAGATTTGAAATGTTTTCATTACGGGAGTTAATGACGCTGAGAATAAGGCAGTCTGAGAAGCAGCCCCAGAATCCCCAGAATCCACCCCCAGATCCTCATTTTTACCCCAAATGGAATTAAAAAAAAAAAAGATGTTGCCTTTGAGTGTGGGTACCTTCATAAAGAGTGGGTTCCCATTCAGGGACTCTGCTCTCCGGATGTTCTCCACCCCGCACTAAAAGAAGCAGAGGGATATCAGTCAGAAATTTGGGTCGAGTTGATGCGTTACACATTTACAACCTTCATTTGTTCTTCGTGTCAAGTTTTACATACAGAAACTAAGATAACGTTACATCATAACAAAAAATACACACAGTAGCTCTCAATAGCTCACACAGTAGCCTCTGTCCTGTTTCCACATGCAAACCCCCCCTCTGAGAATGTCCCCCATTTTTGCTCAGACTTTAAGCCTCACACCTGCACATCAAGGGGTCGGACAGAAGAGATAGCTACGTCCACACGACAGCAGAGAATATTAAAGCTTTGGATCCTCCTCCATCGGAATGGGTCGGAAACACAGAGATGTGGATAAGTTAGAATAATATTCCGAGTGACTTTAAGGTGGTCCTCATTTGGATTGTGCAGCACAAGGAGCACAGAGGACCCCGCAGACATAACTGTCAAAGTAGGGTCAGACTGAATGCTTTAACCTCTGTTGAAAGATTTCCATTCATTGTGACCAGTGGAGACTGTCAAAAAAACAGATATAACGTTTGCTGGCAAATTGTTTTTAACATCCTAAATATGCTCCTTGTCTAATTACAAACCAGAAGGTCCAGAAAGTTAAGACAAAAGGTTTAGCTGGACTTTCTGTAAGGCAGCATTGAACTGGCTCTAAAGGCAGATCTCTGCTCATCTTTCGTTCCTTTTCAAGCATAAGTGGCTCTCAATGGAGATTGTTCCAAAAAAAAGTCTCCAAGAACGCCTTAATCGGGGTTTGAAAAAAAATCATTTGAAAAAAACTTCAAAAACAGTCCAGGTTTCGAACACGTGTGACAATCTGTTCTCATTCCGATGGACAAGGATGTCGAGAAATAGATGTGTCTTGTTCTCAGCTTCCAATTACTTTTCGCGGCGGGTTTCATTTTAGAGAGGAGCTAAAGCAGCAGACGCACTTAAACGGTCCGGGCAGCCCGTGTGTGCGTCTGCTCTGATATTAGCAGCTGTGTGAGGACCGGGCTGAGATTGGAGCCTTAAGAGTAGGGAGGCAGCAAATGAGGACTCGGCTTAGAGGTACAAGTTAAGAGACGAAAATTATTTGATTTCAATTTGCAATTATACCTATATGACAAGAAGAGCTCAGCAGCCTCTTTTTAGGCTTCTGTTTAGCAAGAATGGTTTGCAATATATTCTCATTAGAAAATTCTCACTGTCCTGATTAACTTATTAGTCCATAAATATTTCCTAAACACAACTCAGTTAGGTCCCTCTAAATTGAACTAGGACTGGATTGTGTGCCGGCCCTCTTCCGTAGTCCTGCTGGACCTGAGTGTAGGTTAGGGGCGTTTGGGGATCTCACCTCCTCTCCCAGAACCTGCGCATACTCGATGTCCAGCTCGTGTAGCGTCTCTATGTGGTCGGAGGTAAAGGCGATGGGCACCAGCAGCAGGTTCTTCTTCCCTCGCTCACACAGGCCTTTGATCACGTCGTCCGTTTGGGGGCCGAGCCACGCCATGGGCCCCACCTGCAAGATTACAGTTCTACCTCAGTCTGATGTCACAAGAGGCACCAAAAGGTTCAACATTCCCTTATAAGAAAGTTCTTCAGAAAGTTCAGGACACTACCAGGACCTTAGATTCATTCAAACTTATTCGATTGGTTATCTATTGTTTCCTTCTAGGTTTTCAGCAACACCTCCATCATTTCCACAACAGATCCAGAATCTGTGAACTATACAAGCAGTTAGCCTCCATCACATGACACTAGGAGCTCTGGCGTTCCTGCAGCTGCAGTATTTTCTGGATATGTGGCGCCATCTTGTGGAAAAGACACATTTCAACAGGAACGAGCGCCTCGAACCAATTCTGGTTCAAACAATTGAAACATAAAAATGTGTGACAGATAATCATTGGAATGGAAGTTGTATGAGCTACTAAATGATGGGGTGTGGAAAGGTTTTAACAACTTTTTTTATTCTTAGGTTAGAGGTTATTTACGACATTAGCGGAGTTGCTATTAAATTGATTTTGGGGGCGTGCTTTTACTCACCCTGGACTGCCACACCAGTCTGTAAGGGTTACAGTGGCCTAGCCTCTCCATGACTCTCTGCACTGTGGCTCCCACTTCCTGGGGATATGGGTCACCTCTGTTTACAACCTGTGCACGGAACAAACACGCAGCAGTGAGTGGACATACTGTCAGCAGGTTTCAGTTGATAGCACATACATTTCCATACAACTTCAGCTTTATTCAGAGCACTAAATATCCTCCTTCTGCTCCAGGATCCACTGTATAAAATGGTAAAGTGGGCACAGTTACATCTGGTTTGAGTTATTCTAAATTTGGCTCTTGAAAAAGGAAAATGGTTGAGTTATCAATCAAATTCTAGTTCTACTGTATAAAATTAGTAGTGTCAGTGATGTCTGTGACAAAGGAAAGAATGGTGAATGCTGGGAAAGGAGCACCGACTTGTAAGGAATCTTCTAATTTTAGTTCCAACTACGTCTGGTTAATTGTTGTGTGGTTATGCTAGGAACGTTTTATTCCAGTAGAGAAGTTAAGAAATGGAAACAGAGAGCAAAAAGTGGCAGAGAGGGAGTAGACCTAAGTGAACTGCACTACTTTTAAACTAATGTGTTTTGCATTTGTTTATGAGGAAAAATCATGAACTGAGATGTTTAGAGACAATTTGAGCATAGGAAACACCACTGGGGATGTTAGAATTCATCCTAAACAAGCAGGAATCCAACATGACAGTTATTCTTGAGGACACTTACAGCCATGGGGAGTGAGTGTGCAGAGAAGAGAATGACAACATCGTCTCTTTTGTCCTCTGGAAACTTCAGCAGCTCATTTCTAACATGCTCTGCGAAACACTGAAAACACACACACACACACACACACACACAGAAAACATTAATTACTTTCTAAAATGATTTTGCCCACTTTATTGTTCAAATAATCCTATAATATATAGCAATTTTCTGGGCTACAGTTTTCCATCCTCCATCGGACTATTTACGAAATAACTAAATAAAAACACTCTTAGATTACTTTGTAATACTTTGAAATATTTGACTTTGCAGCCAAGTGATCTGAAGGTGATGCAAGGTTCATGTTTTTACAGCGGGGCAGAGAGAAGAGCTGGAAATGTACAGCATGTGTGGAGCGTCCCCACTGGGGGTGTGTGTGTGTGTGTGTGTGTGTGTGACCGGGTGCCTAACCTCCACCAGCAGAGGGTGTGTGGGCCAGCGGTCGATGACACTCCAGCGCATCTTTGGCCGGTCGGCTCTGCCGCTGTAGTAGCGGTAGATGGCGTTCAGACTGCTGCCTTTAAACAAAGAAACACACTCATATTGGATTACACTGAAAAGTGTGTTTGGAAAATGTTCAAAAGCCCTCTGGAGTTGGATGAGCAAGGAAAAGCTGAGACTAGTTGGAGCTAAATCCGTGTGGTTCATTCCTTTACTTCTGCACGGGCATGGAAAGTCACCTGTCTTAAAGTATACCTTAAACAGTTTACCCTAAACTCCAATGAAGAGTTTAGAAGTTTAGAAGAAGGTTTTAACACCTGGTGTAAACGTATGACACAGAAAATAAGAATCCAAGGTGTAATTTACTTTGGGTTGATCACACAACAAGGCTATAATGGAGAAGATCTAAAAATGGATCTGAATACTTTTAGGAAAGTGTTGTTTATGGGAAGGTTCAGATGAAAAAAAGGCTATAATCCCATAGATGATTACTAAATCTATCGGGATGAGGGTTCTCATGAAGCCGTTTCCATGACAGCTACCTGTGGTGGAGCAGCTGTACTGGGGATACTGGGTGAAGGCCACGGCTCGCTCCACCCCGTCTTTCTCCATCTCCTCGATGGCCTCCTCCGTCAGCGGGTTAACGTAGCGGAAGCCGATGTAGAACTTGTGCGGGGCTGAGAAACAGAGTCACCACGTGAATGTCGGAGGACGGATGAAGGGAAGGCGTTACCGGGGTTATTGCTGCCATCAGCGGAGCAAAAAAAATTAAACCAGACAGTTGAAAGGGGCTGTTGGTTATCAGGGAGGTGTGTTCCAGGCGTGGGAGGAGACCCTCCTTCAGTTCTTACTATCTCCCCTTTACACACTTTGCACCCACCAAAGCAGCTGTTTTGTTATCAGATTTCAGGCTTCTGTTAGCAGGGTTTATCTGAGAGTCAGCAGGTCTGCTCACCCGTCTCTGGACTCATCTCGTCCAGCAGCTTCACCATGCCCTCGCCCTGCATGGAGGTCCAGTGTTTGATGGGGGAGCCGCCCCCGATCTTACTGTACTGCTCCTGGATCTTTGGCGTGCGGCGCTTTGCGATGAAGGGGCCCAGCGTGCTGCAGAGTGGAGGGCAAACATTCATCACAGGGGCTTAATATACACCAATAAACAACAAATATGAATAATCCTCTGGGATTCTTCTGGAACTGCTGCTAGCTGGCGTTTTTGTTACCAATTTAATGTGAAAATAGAAATTTCTGTAATAGTCTGAACTCGCCTGAGTCTACGAACATGCAGATTTACGCTTAAAAAGGTTTATTTCTATTCTGATGGGTCATCTGAAGCCTTTCGAATCACTTTTCTCTGCCAAATCCCAAAGATTAAATTTCATTGAGAAACTGAATTTGAATTGAAACTCATTTAAAAAGTCTGTTATCGGTTATTATGAAGCAGAACGCGCAGAAGGCTGTGGCTAAACACGTGTGAGGGCCCCTCTGTGAAACACACACTCTCAGGGTCTGTGTGTGTGCTTACTTCTGTACAGGGAGCTTCATCAGGTCGGTGTCACTAAAAAGACGCAGTAGGAAATCATGGACGTCTTCCAGTTTCTCCGGTCCTCCCATGTTCAGCATCAGGATGCCTGTTTTAGGTTTCCTGTACAATGAAATTACATTTAACCACTCATACAAATAAAAAAATAAATCTATGTATTAAAACTGACATGTTACAGTCTATGCAGAAATATTTCTTTACACGTTTCCATGAAAACAGTAAATATGGGCCCCAATTAACGCTGATAAGTGACAAATTTACACGAAAATACACCAAAGAAGGCAAAAACAGAGTCTGAAAACAAATATCTGGAAGGAGGATCCTTATACAGAACGAAAAGTGTTCCACAAATGTTCAATTATTTCTTAACATAATACTCCGGATCAGTTCCAAAAGCTGTCCCATCCGTCTACACAAACAATATTCACAAGACAGGTACAATTCTACAAAAAAATATAAGACAGAAATATATTAAACAAAAATAATCTAAAAAGCTTGATTTTTACGTAATAAGAGAAAACTTATTAGTCCCTTTTGTAACTGTTCGGTTTAAAAAATAAACTAAAACTTTCTAAAAATGTCTGAAGCTTAAACCCTGAAGAGTTTGCTGAATCCTATTTGATTACTGGCTCAGATTCAGTTCAAAAGCGGCTTCAGGTGGCCGCCGGCCGGCAGAGTCCTGGTGGGCAGCCAGCGTTTCTCGTCTGACAGCCGGCGGGAGGTCAGCCTGGGACACAGCGGCTGCCCCGTGAGCTGCACTCACATTCTCCGGACGCTTTTCTGCTGTTTGGTGGTCTGATAAAAGACCGAGCGACCGCTGGCCGGTGGTCAGTGATAAAGTTAAAAAAACTAAAACTGGCCAAACACAAGCAGATGACATGCTGCTTCTCTTTATGGTGTATATCTTTGTAAACTTTTCGTTTTGGAACTACTGGTGTGACCAAAGCTGATTTAAACTGCTTCCTTATCGCTGTATGAAGCAGTTAGACGCTGACTCACACCTTAAACCGACTCTTCAGTGGCTTTTCTTACTCACTTAAACAAAAACAACAAAACAAAGACCTACATGAACCTCAGACAACATTTGCCAAAATGGTGACATAATCCTCCAAATTAAGGATTATGTCACCTCCTCCTGAGGTGTTATCCTGTTCTATTAATCCCATTAGAGGTGAGGTCAATTAGGACAGCTTTATATAATTTTCTGGAGCTGCATTTGCTTCATTATACTCCCAATAAACTGTGTGAATGTGTGTGTGTGTGTGTGTCTGTGTGTGTAATACCTGTTCTCCTGTGTATCTGGGGGTGCACTCTGAGCTAAAGCTGCAGCAGTGGAGCGCCGTCTCACAGCCAAGCCGAGGCCGCTCCGTGCAACTAAAGACCAGGAGGAAAACCACTCAGTCATTCATTCATTCATTCATTTTTCAGTTCATTTTCCTTTAAGGACACATTTAAAAAGGTAAAATTAAATTACTTCAATCCCTCCAATAAAAACATGTTTAAAATGAAACAGTGCTAAAATGTGTAACAACACTAATCACGCTCAGATACACAACAGGTAGAGAGTGATAGACAATGTGAACACAGCTGTGAATTCCTCCATTAGGCCTCACCAGAGAGCCCTTAGCAGGTTTAAATAAGCATCAGCCATGAAGAAGCGTGTACAGTCACTAACATGGATAGAATAAAGCTGCCAGTGGACAGTCAGGGTAAAACAAATAAAACTTTTGTATTTGTGGAGGTTTTTATTTTGACGCTAAATTGAACTTTCATAACCCGGCCTGCAGTACGCGGATCGGCCACCAGGGGGTCGGGAATATTACGCAAGTTCCCAACGCCGCAATTGTGTAACAGCCTGTAACGTTCCCCTCTTTCTGTCACCGTCAAATTCAAACAGGGACGCGTCGTCAACACGTATTTACAGCCAGCGTGTCTAAATGAAGCAGGGGAGCGAGATAAGCTAATTATATAACAATGACTTTACACAAACACGGTACATAAGAGTTAAACTGGGGTTCGACAGCCCCGCGACAATAAACGGTTTACAACCGGAAGTGTCGCCATTTGAGCAGAAATAAAAGCGCTTTGAAGGTCACTTTTAATAAACTGTTCAAATTTAGAACAATGTAAAGGGGTAAAATGAACACGGAACCGGTTGTTAAAGCCCGAGGCCTGACGTCTGAAAATCTAAAGTAAAATAAATGATCTGTATCGTTCGTACGAGACAATACGACACGGAAAAGCTCGTAAACTGAGACGGCAAACTGTACGCTGAGAGACTCTTTACCGGAAGTAGGTTTACCACATGCTAGCTTCTGTATAATGTTCGTGTCAATGTCAGTAACGTGTTCGTTAACAACACACGGCCAAAATAAATTAAAAATAAAACACAACCTGGTGAACCGTGGCTGTCTTAGTCCTATATTTAATATGACGAATGAAACATCTCGCCATATCAAACTCTCATAAACACGTGAAACCCAACCGTATTTTTGGGTCCGCTCGTTGGCATACTCACACAGAATGAGGCGGCTGGCGCTGCCCAGGACTGCCATGCTTTTCTCCGCTTCTGCCGCCGCTAAACGTCTTCTTCCCCGCTGCTCCGGGGGAGTCCGGGTCCTCGGGCTTTATGTAACGGGTCCCACAGCTGGCTCCGACTCGCTGGGAGGAGACTGGCGGGTCAGGGCGATGTGATTCCTTCAGCTAACGCCGGGACAGTGCACCGGTGGGCCGTGTGTCAAGAGCGAGCCGCCAAGATGTGGACTTCCGGTTTAGAATTTAGAAATAAAACTCCAACTTTACATCTGTTTATGGTTGCATTTCTGATTCACTGATATTTACCTTTTCAGTTAATTGGTTCTGTATCTGTTCCAAAGAGGCAATGGGGATTTTCACCTTTTATTTCGTAGGAAAAAATAATTAAAAAAAAAATGTAATTGAAAATGGATGACTGAAAAAAAGATATACAGTATATATATTAGAAAGTCCAGTAAACTTAGGACACATGTAAAATACTGAGAACTTTGTATTCTATTGATACACGCACACAAATATATAAATGCAGTATATATATATATTTATATATATATATAAATAAATAAATAATAAAACACACACACAGATATACATATATATATATTAAAAATAGTTATTTAAATAAGTCAGGCATGGATGTATTAATGATGAATGTTTGGTACAAAATATGATGTTAAAGATCAGTTTAATATTCGAAGTTTGTCTTGTTACAGGTTACAAAAAGGTAAAAAAATAACCAGATTTCTGCTGCTCTGCAAGTTTTTTTTTATTGCCACCAAAGTGCATTGAAAGCATGATGACTCTTATTTTTATGTTTTTTTTTATGTTTCCTGTGTTGTTTCACTTACATACCACCGTTGTGGCATACTGGTGTGAACGCAACCAATGTGACGTCATCGTACGTAAGGACACCGCCCACGTCCGTACGGCGGTCCCCCACAGCAGGTGCTCACTCTGTGTGGTCAGCTCCTGGTCAAAGTGTGATGAGCAGGCCTTAAGAGAGACAGTCAGCTATTCCACATCGATGTGTCCCAACTAGCTCCTCATCCTTTGTTTTTTTTTAACGACTGCAGCAACTTTCCACTCCCTCAGGTCAGATAAGGAGCCCAAAATCTGCTTTTATTGGGATGCTCATCATAAGCAGAGCAGGGCCGCTATTTAACCTTCACTTCATCTCACAGAATTCAAAATGGGCCGAGTCCACACTGCCTCATCATGCCTTCAACATCCAAAACAGACATGTTTTAACTCATAAACACCCCTCGTCCACCTTATTCATGCTCTAACAGGGGTTTCTTTAAGAGATTCTCTAATCTGTCATACTTTTGTACATATTCCAGCTTTCTTATTATCAACATACATTAAACCATTAACTTTTTATTTTGATATTTTGGCCAGTTTATTAAAAAAAATAAGCTGAAAAGTTTAACACAAGTTCATAATAATTCTAAAAGTAATAAAGACACACAAATAGCAGAATAATAAACAGACTTCAAGTCTCTGACAGTAGCGGAAAAAAAATCTTTTCATGATTGAAACCTCAGTCTGCTCGTCTGCTAAAACAGGTTTGATGTTTTCATGGAGGCCTTTTCCTTGAGCAGGATTTTACGAGCACAGACGGTTGTTTTTGTTAGTCACCGGCGTTCCCTTTCCGCCATCGCAGCACCAGTTTTTCCAGACATGGAGATTTGTTTCCTCCTTCCTTTTCTAAATCACTGGTCGAGGCTGAGGCGGGGACGGAGACGGGGAACTGTCTGCCGGGCCTGTGTCTGAGGAACTGAGGAGAGTTTCTCATTGGTTTGCGGTTGCCATAGAAAGCCTGTGCGATTCAAAAATCTGCTGAGTCATCGGGCCGCTGGCGTTCTGGCCTGAGATAACAGCTGACTGCAACAAATTCAGGCTTCAGATAGTGGTGAAAGTGGCTTTGTAATACTAGTCACAGCATTTTTCTAAGTGGCCTTTATCCACTACCGGTTCAAACAACTTTCCCTGTCAAACTAAAAGATTTTGAAGTTTCTCAATGATCCTTTCATCTATAATGAAATGAGGCTTTTGTTGGGCCACACATCCTGCTGGTATACTTCATAGGTTTTCCATACCGATCACTCCTCGTAGGGCAGTGGGGGGGTGTCACATTGGTAGGGTTCAAAGGTCACCGCTGCATCACAGGCTGCTGGTATAATATTTCATTATGTTTTTATGCAGAAATATACACTCTAAATACTAATAAGAGCGATGAGTGGGTGGCCTCTGAGGCCTGATGCATGTCTGGTGACTTCTGAGAGCTACTCCGGCCCCTCACTGCCCCTCAGTGGTTTAGTCTGGACGTACCAGGAGTCTCTGTGTGCGGGAGCTGTATTTGGGTTGTCGTCACACTTTGTATCCGACACAGTGAACCTGCTGAATCATGTGTTGAGCTGACAACCTACATTTATTTAGCTCATTCATGAGAAAAAGAGGGTCATGGAAGAGGTTTAGGAATGATGGAGCTTTAGCGAGCCATTAGAGAAACAACGTAACATGTACAAAAAAAAACCTTGCTTTTGGTGGTTGTAGAACAGAGCTGCATGAACAACGACTCACGGCCACTCGACTGGATCAGACTTTATTTAAGTGCAAGATTGAGCTTCTTTTTTATTTTCCGGATGAAGATCAAACCAAAAGTCGGACTGGCTGATGCTGACTCGCACACATTTTGTCTTCAGAAACAGCATTTCCATGCTGCCCGTTTGGGGTCGGGTCTCCACCAGTTTGAAGGCTGATGTGACGGTAGGCTGAGGGGAACAGGAAGGCTGCGTGTCGAGCATCGTGAAGGCAAACCGATGACCGACAGTGGACAGGACTGTTGCTCTGCTACGATTAGCTGACGACGGACAACCACAGAAGAAGACGGCTTCATAATCAACAATAATCTGTTTGCTGTCACTGAGCTTGCTATGGATCAGGTGGGTCATTATGCAGTGGAGGAAAGCAGAAAAGCAAAGGGAATTCATTCTGCCTGGCTGGGTTAGGGTGGGGGGGGGGGCTGGGGGCTCAGGGCCGGCAGCGCTGGATGAAGCGCGGGTACAGGCAGACGTCCCGGATGTGGTGCCTGTTCAGCAGCCAGGTGAGGAAGCGCTCCAGGCCCAGGCCGTAGCCGCCGTGGGGGCAGGTCCCGAACTTCCTCTGAAAAACAGCAAAGGGAAGCAGGGCTGAGCTTCGTTCTGATGAGCGGGCGGTTTTTCTCTCAACCCACAAGAGCCCTCACCCACTTTTCCCTAAAGAGAAATTATAGGAAGTAGATATAAAGTCGTAAATATTCTCTCCTGTTCTAGAGGAGAGTTGATATAATGAGGGCCATGGAGCATATGTTATAAAAGGAGATGCTTCACCTTTTGGCATACTAGCATCAGATTGTCGTAAGTATCAGGCCGTTAAAAAGAATATGCAAGAATTTGGCAGACTTCTCACCAAATTCAATAACGACTTTATCCTTGTAATTAATTCCCCCCCAAAAACCTTCTTTTTTTTTTTTTTAAATGTGGCCCTAATACTCCGTAATACCAAATGAGCCTTTAGACCTGTGTCACGGTGGGCTCTTATGGGTAAATGTCCAGCTGGGTGGGGGGGGCAGTGCGTTTACCTGGTCGGTGTACCAGTAGTAGGGGGTGGGGTCGATGCCCTCCCTCTTGTAGCCCTCCAGCAGCTCCTCCGAGTCCCAGATACGCATGGAGCCGCCCACGATCTCGCCCACGTTGGGCATCAGCACGTCGACCTGTGGGGGGGGGGGGACACGCCCGTCAGACCGCTCCCACCAGATCCAGCACGGGGGCTGGGCCTTCACCGTTTAGGCTTCCAGAATTCAGAGGCGGCCCTTAAACGGGAGCCACAGCATTGACCGTTTGGGAGCTAAAGGTCCGGTCCAGAGCCCGTGGGGGGGGCCTGGCCCTGGGGGGGGTCTCGTACCGACTCGGTGAGCCGGCGGTCCTCGGGGCAGCGCTGCATGTAGAAGGACTTGATCTCGGCGGGGAAGCGGCACAGCAGGATGGTCTCGTTGATGCTGTCGGTCATCAGCCTCTCCGGAGCCTCGGGGATGTCCTGGGACACACGGGAGAAACCTGAGCAAAGGCAGCCTCACTCTGACCGCCTTAGGGGGAGGGGCTGGGGGTTTGGGGGGGAAGGCGGATCGCGCCGGGCGCCGCTACCTCTCCAAACTCGTAGTAGGTGCCGTCGTCCTTCTTGATGTCGTGCTCTCTGAGCCACTCGATGGCCTCGGTGTAGTTCATCCTCTTGAACGGCCTTTTGGGGGGTTTGAAGTTCTGGAATGGGCAAAAGGAAGCATCAGCAGGAATATTCCAAAGGCTGTCTCACACATAAGGGTCTCAGGAGGGAAAAAAAATGGGGGGGGCTGACTTTGTTTGATTCGTTCTAGGGATGTCCCGATCCAGATTTTTTCAATTCTGATCCGATCCCGGCCTATCAGAGCATGCGTTAAAGTCTAAAGTTATTTATCTACTTGCTTAGTTGTCAGACTCACGTTGAACAGGGATTTACTCTGATAACAACTTAATGGTTAGGACACAGACCTGTGGGTTACAGATGCTAATGCTAATGCTCTGATAACAACTTAATGGTTAGGACTCAGACCTGTGGTTACAGATGCTAATGCTAATGCTCTGATAACAACTTAATGGTTAGGACTCAGACCAGTGGTTACAGATGCTAATGCTAATGCTCTGATAACAACTTAATGATTAGGACACAGACCTGTGGGTTACAGATGCTAATGCTAATGCTCTGATAACAACTTAATGGTTAGGACTCAGACCTGTGGGTTACAGATGCTAATGCTCGTGTGGGATCTGACTTTAAAGAAAAAACCTGGATCTGGATGGGGACTAGCCTAATTGGTTCTGTAGAGTGGATCTCCTGTGGGCGTACCGGGTTGATGTCGTACAGCAGCGGGGCGGCGGGAGACTTGAGCACGCGGTCCACCACGTCACACACCAGGTCCTCCAGCCTGCCCAGCAGGTCCTCGAAGGAGAGGAAGGGACACTCGGCCTCGATGTGGGTGTACCTGAGCGCAGGGAGGGGGCCGGGCGGGGGGGGTTACAGCACGTTAGACAGTTTAAATTGCTTTCCAAAGAGTTTTTCACGTCAGAATGTGTTGACTGAATTTCATGTTTGAACGCATCAAATAAAATCACACAACTCATTCGTTTGCCTTTTCTAAAAGTAAAACTCTGCTTTCTGCTCCGTCCCAGACGGGGGGGGGGGGGGGACTCACTCGGACAGGTGCCTGCGGGTGCGGGACTGCTCGGCCCGGTAGGACTGCGCGATGCTGAAGGTGTCGCCCAGGGCCGGTATGCAGGTCTCCAGGTAGAGCTGCGAGGACTGCGTCAGGTAGGCCTCCTCGCCAAAGTAGTTGAAGTTGAAGAGCGTGGAGCCGCCCTCCACCTGCGTCTGCACCATGGTGGGGGGGGTGATCTGCGGCGGGGGGGAGGACGAAGAAACAACCCATTCAACACCTAAAACCCAGCCACCCAGTACGTTTCCATGGTTTCCATTGTCCCGTTTCCAGAGGAACTTCTTGAGCCATTTCAAGACAATCATCCCATAATTCCCCACAATAGTAATATAATAACAATGCCCAGTTCTGTATGCTTTCATTAGGGAAACGGATGCTAAATGTGCTGCCTTTAGCGTGCTAGCAGGTTGAAGTGAATATTAAACCTTCCCGTCTGCTCATAAAATTTGTCTTAAAGCTTTCTCTTTAAAAAAAAAATCTTTGACAGGAATGAGAGGGAGGCCCGGGTCCCGCCTCACCTCGTAGTATCCGCGGTTGAAGAAGTGGTCCCTGAAGCACTGGGTGACGGTGGAGCGCACGCGGAGGATCTTGGAGACGTTCTCCCCCCGGATCATCATGTGCCGGTTGTTCAGCTGCACGTCCACGTCCGACTCCTCGTTCAGCAGGTTGTCGGCGCCCCCTGCTGGGGCCAGGCCGATCAGCTCCCAGTAGTCGCAGTGCAGCTCGTGGCCGCCGGGCGCCTGGGAGAGGGGGGGGGGGGGTGGCGGAGGGGGTCAGCGAACGCCACCCTCCTGACATGCCTTACATTTGGGTTACTGCCGATCACATTTTACTTCCTGCTTAAGAATAACTTCCTTTCACATATACAAAACTAAAGAGTTAAGAGTCTGGAGCTTCTATTCTTAGAAACAGAAACAAAAAGGGGTTTTTTTTTTGTTCCGTTTTTTGGATTTTGCTTTTGGTGGGGGCCGGCGGGTGGTGGGTGGGGTGCCGTTACCTGCTTCCCTTCAGGGACTGGAGTGACGGTGCCGTACAGAGCGACGGTGCTCTCTGTGGACAGCACCAGGCCGTTGTAGCACTGACACTGGAGGCAGCAAAACAAAAATCAACATGGAGAATTAGAAGAAAAAAAAAACAGCATCCTCTTTATATTTGCAAGCTTGTACTTGTATGTTTGATTAAGTCCAAATCTTTACTAGCTTAATCTGATATTTTCACTAAATGCCGTGGACACAGGGCTAAATCTGAGCCTCTATTCTCTGGGATGGGACTCGGGCAGGAGGAGGAAGGTGTGATAATGTACCAGGAGGTCCGACAGGACACACTGGAGGAAGCCGGTTCCATCTCGGAGCACAACGAACATCAGGTTCTTCCCTGAGGGAGACAAAGGCGAGCCGTCAGTCAGAGCTCAGGGTAACGGGTGAGTGGGGGTGAGTGGAGGGGGCTGGGGGTGAGTGGAGGGGGAAGGAGAAGCGTTGGACCGGGATGCTCACCCTGCCTCCTGAGCCGATGGACCCAGCCGAACACCTTGACTCTCTGGCCTCTTTTTGACTCCAGGTGACGGATTTTCACCTGGAAACGAAGGGGTCATGACTCAACTGTGGGCCTCCATCTGCAGCTTTACTTTAAAAGTCTTCTTAGAGCTGCTTACAAATATGTAACTACTTTGTTGTGCGATATAAAAGCGTTTTGATTTTTTGGGGGGTGTAATACAGACCGTCTCAGGCTGAGGGAGGCTGGGGTCGTTCTTAATGACTATCTTCTTGGCCTCCTCCAGGTTCTTCTCTCTCCTCTCGGTGTCCTCTGCCTGTACAGCCAACATCAGAAACACTGACACCTCACAGACACCAAGAGTTAAACAGCAACGGTTGTGCTGTAAAGCGCACAGAGAACACAGGAATACAGAGTGGTGGACTCAGAAGCAAATCTATTTCATGTTTTATTTTTCTGCTCTAGCATGTCCTGATGCTGTTTGAAGTCAAGGGAGTATTCTGTTATCTCCCTTTCTGGTTGTGTGTTTCACAGCTGGATCAATTCTGGTTTAAAGACATCTCTTCTCTACTATGAGCAGCATCTCTGATCCCTCACTGCTTCGATTTACTGCTGTTGGATGTTGGAGTCCTAAAAGTGGGAGGAACACTGAGGCCATCAGATGATCGTTTCAGGCTTTTGTTTATTTTTCTCTTGTTCTTAGTGTTTGGAACCTGAATGGAAATTCCTCTAAATCAAAAGCACTGTTACAGCTTCGGTGCACCCGGCTGGTCATCGTACTGAACGCCGTCTCAGGAACAGAGCCAACTTTTCCTGCCTTTTAGCTTTGGGTTAGTTCTGGCAGGGTAAACGTAGCCTAATCGGGGACAGAGGATGCAGATGCTCATCTCTGCTGCGGCTGGGAGGCGGCAGCTGGAGCTGGCAGAGCTTAGCCCGGTGTTATGTGTAACCAGCATACAGAAGAAAACACCTGGATTTGTTTGACTCAGATTCTTCTAGACTCTGAACACACTCTGGAAACCCCACACCTTTTCAGTGACTCCGTTTTGGACAGGGAAGTCACAGTCTCTTTGGGGGACCAAACCATTGTGCACTGTGGAGCCTGGCACACACCTCTTTTTTGTCTTTGGCGTCAGTCTTCAGCTGCTCGCGGTTAAAAGCCTTCTTTGCGTTCTTCATCTGCGTCTTAGAGATCACCGCCCAGCGCTGAAACAAACACAGGACGCGCCAAACAAATCAGAAGGAAGGAAGAGGTGGTCGGCATTAAAATATCACTAAACTATCCGCTAGGGTTGTCACGATACTAAAATATTCAACTCGATACCGATACTCAGGAAAATACTCGATACCATTTTCGATACCACAAGGATAAAAACAAAGAACCCAAAATTTAACTGAATTTTGACAGGTTAGTGTCTTTCATTTCTAACTGACCTGATACTAATGTTATTGTGACTGGTGGCCCGCATTAATGACCCTAATCCTAACCCTAACCCTGACCCTACAGCCTTCATAATTGTGAGAAATAAATATTTTTTGGTTAAACTTGTTTGGACTTATTCTACAAACCTATTTAACATTACACTGTTTTAACATAATAATATGGATAGAGTTTAATTAAGTGTTCGAAAGATCAATTTCACTATTTTTAAATTAATGTCTATATTGCCATGAGGCATTACCCTTTTCTTGCCAGGGATCTCCCTATTGGTGACTTGGATGTGGGCGGAGTTAGATATGTACTTGATTAATGGTAGCACGTTATTATTAGCCATTAGCCGAAGCTAAAGTTCAAGGCTAACGTCTTGTTAATGACCATAAACAACGTAAAAAAATACATAAATAAATCTGAGAGAAGGGGGGCAACGATGGCAGGTCAGCGATACTTTTTTGAGTATCGATACTTTTGACAACCCTACTATCCTCACTGATGCACGAGCACAAACAAAAACGGACATGGTAAAATATAAAAAATCAAGATGTGATATTTCTCTGCAGGGAGAGGAAAGAAATGCTAATGCTGACGTAAGAAAAATCACCTACCTCGCCCTCCTGCTGTGAATCAACGTAGAGAGTTGGGAATGGCTCCTTACCGGCAAACAACAGAGCCTGCGAGGATTTGAACAGAAACAATATGAGTCTCCTTCCAGCAGAAGGACCCCCCCATTAGCTGAACACACAACTTACCTTTAGGGGGGTTTTGAAGGGCTTCTGCTGCGAGCCATCGCCGTCCTGGTCGCTGCCACATTTGTCGGACACGTAGAGCTCTCCTGGACAACGGAGGGCAAAATTAGACATATTTCACATGAATACACATAGGTGAAGTAAATGGGTGCTCCAGTAAACAATCATCAGCATACACATCTAATGGGTCAGCTTATGAATCCAGGAGTTGATATATCTGGGGTCCGTGTATGGTCAGAGTGTTGACCAACAGAGGAACTCGACCTCCAGGGGCAATTCTTATTTTCACTTTGGACAGCAATTCATTTATTGAGCCAATATTTATCTGAACACAACAGTCAGATCAGAGGATTCAAAATGGGCGGGGTCAAAATGGACCAGATGCTGTGATCTCTACTAATAACTGAAGAAAAAGTGAAAGGAAACTTTGGACATGTTGCAATCTGATGCAATAATGAAAGTGGACATCCATTTCATAGCTTATCCAAATCAGCTACAATCCTGGAGGGGAAAAGCGTAATACTATAATATAATATTAAGAACACTGAGATGGGAAGCTTTTAACCTTGAGTTTTTTATTCTGTTTTGCTAGTTGAGATATAACAACATAATCAGTCTGAACGTCGACAGAACATCTAAAAGCATTTGGCGTTTTGCATTTAGCTGTAGAATTAATTCACAGAGGAAGACACGTGTCTTTAGAAAATGATTAATTTTCAAAGTGAGACATCTGGAGTAGAGCCATCGTTTCTACCACATCAAAAAGGAATGTTCTGTATATATTACTGAGACAAAGAAAGAAGATGTATTCGAATAGTTAATCTAATAGAAAGTAATACTCAGGAATTGGGTTCTGTTTCCTGCATTGATTGAAACTGAGCAGTGAACAGACTTGGCCTCAGCATGGTAAAGTGACAGCTATGCTTGCAGAACAAAAGCAAATGGCCTTTTCGATCTATGAGACTCTTTAATCACGTTCGCAGCCACGTAAAAACATAAAAACAACTGTGCGAATTAACACGTTCACGGTAATGGATGCAAAGACACACGTATACAATCAGAAACCAGCGAAATGGGGTAAGCTAGCTGCTAGCATCCCTTCAACTGATGCAATAAGGGAGACACGAGCTAGCCAGTCAACCAGCTAGCTCAGACCAGGCTCGTCCCGTTCTTACCCACTGAGACCTGCTCCACACCTTTCGTTATCTCCGTCGTCATGTCGTCTTGGCTTCGACAACCGTCCGTCCAGGAACGAGCAGAGAATCTGCTTCAAAGAGGAGAAAATGTGAGCGCTGAGTCGGCTGCCCGGCGACGTCTGCTCTCCCCCAACGTGCAACTTTGCATCAGACCTGACGCAGAAGTGGGAGGGGCTTGTGGATACCAGGGATCTGATTGGAGGCGGTTCTCCTACACTGATTGGCGGGGGTGTGTCTGGCCGTCAAGAGATGGGAAATGTTGTTGGTGAGGCTTCCTGTCAAACAAATGTTGCGTTTGAATTCCCCCAGAATTAATCAGAATGAGAAATAGATACTTTAGATTAAGACGCATCAGATCAATAACAAACCTATTAGTCTCAGGTCAATTAGGACATATAAAAACGTTATATAGACCATAGACAAAACCTAACAACTTTCTTTCTTGTTCTTTCTTTCTTTCTTTCTTTCTTTCTTTCTTTCTTTCTTTCTTTCTGCAGATTCAAAATGGGCGTAGTCTAAATGGACCGGATGTTGTGACCTCTACGAATAACAGAAGAGAAAGTAAAAGGAAACTTTGGACATGTTGCAATCTGATGCAATAATGAAAGTGGACATCCATTTTATAGCTTATCCAAATCAGCTACAATTCTGGAGAGAAAAAGTGTAATACTGTAATATTATATTTACAACATTGACATGGGAAGCTTTGAAACTTAGTGTTTTTTTTTTTTTTTTGCTAGTTTAGATATAGGAACATAATCAGTCTGAACGTGGACAGAACATCTTCTAAAAGCATTTGACGTTTTTCATTTAGCTGTAGAATTAATTCACATTATACCACGTGTCTTTAGAAAATGATTTATTTTCAAAGTGAGACAGCTGGAGTAGAGCCAGAATGTTCTGTAAATATTACTGAGACAAAGAAAGTATGTTTATTCATATAATTAATATAATAGAAAATAATACTCAGGAATTGGGTCCTGTTTCCTGCATTGATTGAAACTGAGCAGTGAACAGACTTGGCCTCGGCATGGTAAAGTGACAGCTATGCTTGCAGAATAAAAGCAAATGCCTTTTCGATCCATGAGATTATCTACAGATTCAGAATTAGAATCAGAAATACTTTAATAATCCCAGAGGGACATTACTGTATTTCTTATTCTGAACAGCCAGCAGCTCCATCTTCTGTTCAAACCAAGGAAAGACCAGATAATGAGCACACAAATTGAGGTCATTCAATTTTGCATACTGCTTGCTGTATCGATTCGAATCAGGTATTTTACAGACAGGAAACATCTAAAACCTGCAGGATAGTAACCACTACTGTTAGAGTAGTTAGAGTAATTCTAGGTTAGTTATAAAAGCGATGTTTCAAATGTTATTTCATTAAAGCAGTCCAGAGTAGGGGTGTTACTAAAAACCTTAAGTCTGTCAGTTCTGAAATGGCGTGTTTGGAGGAACCACCCTAGAACCAACCATTAATCTCATCAGAAAGCTCCCTCTTGAGTTCAAAATGTATTTGACATGTAGTTCTAACCCATACGGCCATCAGCTCTCTGTTCCTCCAAAAGCTGAAGATCCCCATAAAAGCAGACTTGACACACATGCCTTTGAAAAAGGACTGTGTTTTATTTACAGGCTTTCATCAGAATTACAATATAAATGATTTATGGATGAGAATTCATTAAGAGCAAGAGGACGACTGCAGGAGGTCGGGTTTTTTTCTTTTTTTGACAGCTTCACATGTGGCAGCTTTGGAGGAGGTAAAGTCCTTGGATGTTTCTATAGTCCTGCTCCTCCTCATCTTTCTCTCATCCTCCGGCCCCGTTGGTTCTCCTGCTCAGTGGCTCTCACCTTTCTTCCCCACTACCTGCAGACAAACGGTGTTCAGCCCGTGTGGAGATCTCTCCAACCCACCTGAATCTGAGGCACAGCGGCTGCTTTGTACCCTTTTGAAGTCGTTCATGTTGGTGGCCTGGACCGGTGTGCCTATGAACGTCAGGTAGTTGATTTTTGTTGTCTCCTCGTCTCCCTGGTTTGACTTCACAAACATCTGTAAGAGAGAAAGGAAAACATTACTGCGCAGCAGCGACCGGAGACCTTTATTTGAGCCATTAGCCATAAAAACAAAGCAGCTTTATAGAGGCAATACATCTATACAAGCAACTGTTAAACCATTTTGTGAATGGTGGCTAGTTTTCATTGTCAACAAATCCATTCCTTCATACTTTGGTCCGAAGTTGACTGTCAAGATATGTTTAAATGAACCTCAAATAATAGGATGTAAAGATCCTTATCTTGATCTGATAACTCTCTTACTAAACTAGATGGTAAAAACATGACATTTTCTTTTTTTGAATCCTCAAACTCATTTTGAACTCAAGCCCATGACTTTGTGTCCGTTACTTTTAGAGAGGATGATGGAAAAGAATGTCTAAGATACAAAGTAACGTTTTATAATAATGGTAAAGGGAACATTCAAAAACAGTTTAAAAAAGCTCTGTTATCACCACATTTCTAGGATTTTTCTCTTTCCACTTGCTCTAACAGGGAGAGGCTCAGTGTAAGCATTGTGATCTAACCCTCAACAGAAAGTGGACGGTTTCAGTGGAACTCAGACTACTCCAAATTTTCTACTGGCTTGAATTAAAAGACACAGAGCAGCTGGAAACTGCAGTAAAATTCTGCCCTGCTGAGTCGGATGGGTTCGTTTTCACCTGATCCCCTCCATCATCACAGACCTTTCCAATCTCCAGCATCTGAGGCTCCACCCAGATTCAAACTATCATGTAAAACGCCTCACATGATGGCCAACAAGCGAAAGATTCTCTTTTAAATCGTTTATAAAAAAGCTCACACCCTCATCTGAAGTGAGACTCAGCCAAGTGTCTGCTTCAGAAACCCAGTATTTAAGCAGCTGACCCTTCTATGTGTTTATCTGCCACTGGGTAAATAAAAGAGGAGTTTCTAATAAGAAAAACAAACACGGCTGTGCTTCCACCTCCTCACCGTAACACTCTGCACGTTCTGAAACTTGACGTAGCGCAGAGGAATCAGACCCTCGTCTTTGTAGTCCTCCTCGGACAGCTCCAGGGTTTGGGTGGCTTCGCTCCGCTCGGCGTCGTCAAACCCCATCGACCGGGGGAGATTGATGAAGATCTTTAATACCTTGGGGGCCTGGGCTGACGGAGAAAAAGAGGCGGAGAAAAGGTGAAAAGACAGAAGGACGGAGAGTGAAAAAAGAAACTGCAGCATCACCGGCTGACACATCACAGGCAGCTGCAGAACTGAACTTACCGAGGTCTGAGCACTGCAGTTTCATAGAGAACAGCTTCACGGGTTGGTTGAAGGCCATTGTTATCAGTAACTGGAAAAAAGAAATAACAATTACACTCACACATACATGATATCAACTAGACGGAGGTCGTGCCGACTTGTGGCTGGGCTGCTGGCTCGTACCTGTTCGTCACAGTCGGACTCCAGGTAGGAGGAGTCTTTAATTAAACAACTGTCGAAGCCACAGTCGTCGCTCTCGTTCAGACACTCGCAGCCCGCCTTGTTGACAAAAGGCATGAGGTCCATCTGAAACGCAGGGCCAAAAAGTCAATTCAGGTTGGTTTTAAACTGGGTTCAGGATCCAGACAAAAGGACTTAAAGCCTAATATTAAAGCAGACTGCACAAAAGGAGGAAAATAACAAACATGCTTTGCCAGGACATGATTTAAAGAATACACCGAAGGACTTTAGAGCATGACGCAGCTCCTTTTATGACCATTTTGGTGGTAAAAACGACATGAAAAAGCAACATACAGGCAAGCCTGTAAACTGTGTTCCTGCATTTGTGACTAATTCAGACTTCAGTACAGCCTCTGAACATGTCCGGCATCCTTCCAGCTAGCTAGGTCATTTGTACAAGAAGCAGACACTTTATTAACGGATAAACATGGAAGTCTGCACACCAAGCCACAGAGAAGCCCCATGATGGGGCTCTTTCTTTCCAATCAGAAAAAGAAGAAAACCTAAATCGGTCAGTAAAATGAAGAAAGGAGCATTGTGCTTGCACTCACATATCCCTTTGGAATGTCTGAGTCCTCGCCATTTCCCGGGTCGTTCTCTGTGTGCTGTTTGATCTTCTCCTCCAGACCCGCAGCATCGGCTCCCTGGTACTGATCCACCCGCACCCGGTTCCGGAAGAACAAGAACGTGGGTGTGGCTGAGATGTTGTTGGCTGCTGCCGTCGCCTGCAAAAAACAAACAAACCAAATAAAAAGGCTACTCAAACTGACCTTGCATCATCACTAGATATTCACAATGAACATTGTTAAAAACAAGACATGCAAGTCTCTGTGTGTTCTCTTTGTCTGAAAAAACTCTGAAAAGACAAAGTTCTATGACCATTTCTTTAATATTTTAGGAACAATAAGCATTCAAATCAGTGCTAAACAAAAGTAGACACCTTCACTCTTTCTCAATCTTTTCTAAACGTACGCTGGAGTTCACGTTTACCTGACAGACGTGGACATCGACCTCGAGGAAGACAACCTGTGGATACTTATTACTCAGCATGTTGAAGGCCGGAGCTATTCTGACGCAGGGTCGACACCTGAGGGGGCAAAGGAGAGTATGTCAGTAATGTTTGGAATATCTCTGCTATTTCTCAGACACATTTCAATAGCTACAGTAATAAATAGAATCTGAATAAATATTTTCTGCTCTGCTGGTGTGGATATATGCTCTGTGGGACACTTTAGAAGACAGTATCTAGTAATTCTATGCATAAATGAAATATATTTTGAGCTCATTCCTTGCAGCTACTAATGTTACTGACACATTGTGGATACAAATGTTGGATTCATGTAACACTACCCTAAATAGTAGCGGTTCTAAACGGCAACATATCTCGTATCAGTTTCTCTGATGAAGTGCTTTCACTTTATCAATTTAATGGCCTTTAAATCGATGAAAACCTCATAATAAACATATAATGTAAAACGACCGTTATTTGGGGTTAAGCATTTAACGTAATGTTGCTAGTTATGGTACACCTAAGAAAAAAGATTAACAAATGGTACAGAGAATGTAACGTGTAAGGAGCTAACGCATCAGTACAACGTTACAACGCCGTAACAGCCAACTTACTGTAATACTGCTATGTCATTCTAAGCAACACAGCTAGCTAGCTACTGCCAGCTAACGGAAGCATGCTAGCGTATGTTTCCTACAAATGATAAGAACTGTTTATTTTTCCTTTCCACCTCTAATGAACACCCACATCATAAACTCAGAAGCTTTCTAAATTCACTGAAAAGCCGTCCAGATCGGTTAGTCTTCCGGCCTTACAGCCGGGTACGATGTACCTACCCAGCCATTGTGAACTTCACCACGGTGAGCCTAGAGCCGGCGGCCGCTAACTCCGGTTGGAAGTCCGGGTCGTTCCCGATTACCTTAACACCAACCATGGTGCCAAATGCAGTTGTTGTTTGGGTTTGTCACTCTGGGCTTTGTTCTCTGACAGAAACGAGATTATCTAACGAGTAGGAAGAGTTTTGTTTTTAGCCTTCTGTCAGTAAATGTAGCTTACTAGCTGTCCAGTGCCGAAGCACACCTATCGTACAATGAGCTGTTTCAGAATGGGGACTTCTCATTGGTCAACGGCAGTAGGAAGGGCGGAGTTTCCTCTTCTTCTTCTGCTGCTCGTTACGTCAGAAAAGGGCGACTACGTGTTGCTACCCCCTTCAGTCCGGATTCGTTTATGAACTAACTGGCAAAGCAGCAATAACTTTTTTTTCCTCCAAATGAATACATATACTTACTGAATACTTAATTAAATGATATAGACTAATATTAAACTAATTCAGTTCAACTATAATTTTGTGCATTTAACATATGCCTTTTTTCCAAAGCGACATACAAGGATACAACAGAATGGAGTACACAGCAATTTTCAAGAAACAGTTAACAACAATAACATCAAGTGTATGCCAAGGGTGGAGATCTATAGGTAGGTTGACTGCAGAAATAGGACGTGAGTGGAGAGTAAATAAGAGGAAAAAGGGAAATAATTGCCAATGATTAGTTTATCATGATAGGAGGTACTTTTGCAAACCAAGGTTTTAAGAGCTTCTTTAAGTAAGAAAGGGGGACCTTTGCTCTGGTAGTACTTGATAGGTGGTTCCGCCAGTGAGGGACGAGAGCGTAGAATAGTCTGGAGAGCTGAGCTGGTGGGGGTGTTAACACCGGATGATGTCCCCTGGAGGAACAAGTGAGCTGAAGGTTAAGCAGATGGGAGCAGATCGCTATGTGGGTAACATCAGAGATTCATATTTGTTCTGAGCAGCTACAGGCAGTGAGTATAGTTTAACGCAGCTATGGAGATTGTTGTCAGGAATGGCCTGATGTTTCTTTTGGTAAATACTGTAAAGTAGCAGGACTAGGCAAGAGAGGCCACACAGTCAGAGAAAGTCAGCTGGTGACTTTCAAGTTTCCACTCATATTTTCCACTTCAAAATCGGAAAATGTCCACATCCTAACAGATCAACCGATCTAAAACAAACAGCAAAGCCTTCTTTTTCAATGGCTCAACCTCTTAGTCTCTCAACAGACAATTAAACCTTTAAACTCATCATCCCATCATTATAACACCTGTTTTTTGTGAAGTATTATTTCTGCCTTTTTTCCATTTAACTTATGACATATTTAACCAGTCTAAGTAGTACTTGGTAACTTGTTAGACTTTTTTCAAATTGTATTTATCAGCAGTAAATGGACAAATTTATCTATAATGTCCATTACACTTCTTTGTCAACATTTACAGAGATGCTAATAGAAGGTATTACCATTTAATTTAACGCTGTGGTGATTTTTTATACCAGGATCCTCCATAGTATTTTTTCCAATTTACCTGCAATGAAGAAAACTGAAATTAAAATATTTACCCTAAGCCATGAATAACTTTATAAATCATATCAATGTTTGAATTGTTGGAGGCAGATGTTCCATATGATGTAAATAGGGAACACATTTGAAATATTGAATGTTCCCTACTGTCTGAAATGACATAAAAGTACAGTTAAAACAGTGCACTGCTCTATGGGAAAAGTGCAGTAGCTTAACAAAAGACACAAAGAACACTGACTGTCTTCATTTCCTCCGGACCAACATGGTCGGGTTGAGTTTCCACTAAAACAGAGTTGTGTAAGCAAATGGCTGCCTCAGCTTTTAAGTATTTCATGCCAGTTTTTAAAATATCCAAATGCCTCATCTGGGTCCACTATTCTCTTTTAGAATAATAGAGTATCCTTCTGTCAGAGCTAAAGACAGAAACTGAAACACGTTCTACCCGTTTCAGGTGTTTTTCCCATTATCATTTAGATCACTCTGTTTAAAGTCAATTTAAATGATTCAAGACTCAACAATAAGCCCTCCCTCTGGAGGAACACCGTCTGACCGGGTTTGAGGACCCTAGTCTGAGCCACCACCTGCCTTAATTAGGGATTCAATTACACACCTTTACCTGCTCGTCACGTGACCCGACGCCTCCACGCCCACTTCCGCAGGTAAAGCCTCCCAGCGAACGTCCAGTGTGCGGTGTGTGGCGCGTTGTGTTGAGCTCCGGGGGCGTCGGACCGGTCCGGCAGGTTTGCGGCGCGCAGCAGAGCAGGTGAGGCAGCGCAGGAACCAGGGCGGGGAGCCCGGAAGACCAGCAACCAGGAGGAGAAGGAAACATGGTGCGGTGACACGGCGCTCCGGACACCGACCCAGAGACCACGCAGACCCAGAGACAGACCCAGAGACCACGCAGACCTACGCAGAGACGCAGTAAGTGACGCGTTTGACCCCGAAAGTGGTTTTGAGCGTCCAGGGCGCACGGATGGCTGGAGCAGGGTCTGGACCAGGATATGGGGCAGGGGTTTACCGGGTTCCTGGCGCTGAAACCACTAATTCAGAAAGGCCGCATCGTTGATAATCTGTAGAAATATAGCCCGCTTTCACATCCAGTGATACTTAGGTTTGAAACTCTCTGGGAGGTTAAAAAGTGTTTCAGGAATATTCAGATAAAAGTTTGCGTCCGGGCCCAGACTCTGTACTAAACTAGTTTATTTTTGTCAAGCCCCGTTTGGAATTTAGGGTCTACCTTACAATTTCTTAAGATCCTTTCAAATAAACGGATCATGTAGTTTCTATGCTCTCAGGGAGAAATGGATTGTTTTTGCTATTTTTTTTAAAGGTTTATGAAAATCAGTTTTGGTACATTCCAGCAGCTCAGTGAAGGAGGATAGAAGGGACAATCTGTAATTCTCTATGTGGCTCAGAAGTACAAAATATTCACACAATAAAAAATAAATTGAGAACACGAAACTTGAACAGGATGGAGGGGTTTCTGGCAGTAAGATTAGAGCTGAATAGTGTTATTTTAGCGTTAAAGAGCCCTGAAACGTGAGTCTCAAAACCTACATCTGATCAATTGAAACTTATGTTCTTAGTTCCGTCCTTTATCTCCAGTATCAAAGTCTTTCCTATAATTGTTCTGAGTTTCTTAGTCTGGGTTTACAATGAAATGTCCATCATGAGTAGATCAGTGTGAGCTGTAATAAATGGCCACCTGACTCCAACATCATATTTTAGATTAATCTTTTAGATTAATGTTCCTGTTAGCTTTTATTAACATTTTTCAATAGAGCTACGGGATGTGATTTCAGCTATTCTTATGACCGACACCCGGATGGGAGATTTTTTTTCCCCTCCTGGATGTTCTACTTGGATGGAGGCAAGTGCCTGCGCAGGGGAAAAAAAGAAAAGGAAAATCTGTCCATATGATGTTCAAAGGTCACCTTTGGGTATTCCTCATCTTAAACCCATGTATTCACAACATGTCAGCCAAAGTGATGGCTTTTAATTGACAGAAAGCCGTAACGGAAAACAACACTGTTGTGTTTGCAGTTTAAGCACCAAATGCAGCTCCACCTTTAGTAAATGCAGCGGTGTAGGAATACATCTGGATATTTAGGAGGAAACAGCAGCTCCCTACAAAACATAAACGGGTTTTCAGCTTGAAATGGCTTCAATTTAAGCCGGATCTTAACCTGTACCACTCTTACCTGAAGTTTAGCCCATAGAAAGGCATTTTTTTGTACATTTGATTTGGACAGAATAATTAGCCATTTGCTTAAGCTTTTTTTAAATTTATTTTAAATTTTTTATTAGATAAAAAAAAAATCAATACAATTCTTATGCATTTATTAATTTTTGTAAAAATAAATGAATGCATAAAAATTGTATGGATTTTTTTTTCATTCCACACTCATTTTCTTGTAACTTTCGTTCTACTGCTTTCTCTTCTTGTTACATTTGATTTTGCTCACCTCCTATAACTCAAGACTATAAAAAATCAGATTTTAGAGTGAAAAATGTATTCAAATTTATTAATTTGTCTAGGTTTTATGAGGACATCCATTTTTTTTAATGGCTAATGGTTAAAAACTTGCACCTCCCCATGTCTCCAAGTCTTAGTTTTTCAGAAATAAAGTTTTTACTCCCTAATTTTTTACAAACCTCTGGGCCCTCATATTAACGTGATTTTTATGTTTTTTCTTTAAAGTAATTTGAACGTGTTTAATTGAAGTCAGCTGAAATGCTGCATTTTCTTTTCTGAACAGCAATATTTTGCTTTTATTTTTCATTATACAGTAACTTATTTGATTATCAGTAAAATTATTTTTCCTCAACTCCAAAGCAAAGCCAAAATGTATTATGGCTTCATTGTTAACTTCCTTGGTTCTGGGATGTTAAAAACTTAATTTTGAACTGAAGAAGATCTTAGAGCCCCCCAGCGGGGGCCTGAAACGCGCTGTCTGTTGTGAGTAAACTCACAAATGAGCCCAGCCTGCCGGGCTGTTTTTCCATAAACCAGCGAAGCAGCTCCTTGTGTTCGCCAAGCAAGTTCGGGAGCACTTTTGATTAGGGAAATATCTGCGCCCTTATGGAAATGTCCGACCCTTAAGCAGTGGCACAGAATTTGAATGGTGACCCGACAGACAAATGGATTGCAGGTTATTCGAGTTGAAGATGTTGGAGCAGGTGTTTTGAAATGTGTTGACCTGAGAGAGCTCTCTGACTGCTCTCCTGTTAACCTCACAGTATCAGCTCTCTAATCTAGACAGCTTTCAAACCTAAGACCTCTAAAAGCTACAGTTTTCTTATTTTTGTTATACATTTATCTTTATCTAAATATAAAAAGTTTAAATGGGAACTTTATCGATTTACAATCTCTCAAATATAACTCTCCTGTCGGTTTCTGCTCAGTAATTGACGGGGAATCAAACGAAATTCCTTTATTTTTCTTCTTTTTGTCTTTTTTTTTAATCCTCGTTGGCGTTTTCTGTCATCACTCAAAATTGATTTGTGAGAAAAACACATGTAAATTGGTAGTCAAATGCAGTTTGTGTGCCGATGGGCTAAAAACATGCGTTGCAGTTTGAGTATCACTTCCTGTTTGGACTTTAAACAAACCCGTGGGTCGTTGGGGGGTTTGCTGGGGGGTTGCTGAGGGTGGCTTGGGGCTGCTGGGGAGCTCTTTTTAATTTCTGGGAGCTTCTGCTGGTGAGGGATCCCCGGCAGCAGCTGGCTTCTCCTCAGACTAACTGCTCGTTCATTGTCTGGACTCCAGCTGAGAGGGAAACACTGAAGAAACTTGAGTTGACTCATTAACCTTCATTAAACTTCATTAAACGCACACATGCACACACAAAGCCACGTGCGCAAGTATTTGTGTTTACCTTTGTGTGTCTGAATGACCCTTAAGTCTATCTCTTATGGGGAGTCTATCTCTCAGGTAGCTTGTAAACGCATCCGAGCCCTTTTGGAGGAGTGGGTGGGTGGGGGGTGGGGAGGGGGGGTCACTAGGGAGGGGTCGGTCTGTTACCTGTGCTGGGAAACCACCCACCCCCACCATGATGCAACAAATGGAGTGACGTGGCATCATTGTAGCCTTTATTTAAAGCTTTGAAACAAGCAAAAAAATCAAAATGCTTTTGTTAACCAAAATCTGTAAAGCCAATTAAAATTATAATCAACTGCGTGTCAGGCAGCCTTTTGAATTTTCTACACTGAAGCAGCATAGATCCATGTAGAATATTACATTAACCGAACGAACAACCTGTAGGGGACAAAAATAAAGTTCTTAATGTCCACTTCCTGCAGAAGCTTAGAATATTGGAGTGTAAATCCAGGTGAGAATAGTATGTTATTGTGTTGCTTTCCACGTAGCTATAATAGACAGAAAGTCTAATGTGCTTATGTACAAAAAGAAAATTGTTTGTTATTCTGACTGCATCCATCTAACTACGTCTAATGGAGATGCATGCTTCACATTCCTCTTTTTTCTGCCGTGCACAGTTGAGCCTTTAGCACTAACAGTACCCAGATTTTTAAATGTTTGATTTAAAAAAAACAAAGAAAAGAGGCTTAAATTTGCTAAAATCTTCAGTTTTTAGCTTTGCTCTGTTATATGCCAGGAGCTTCTATAGGTGTAGGTCAATATTAGAAGGAAAAGAATCAAATCAGACCAAATAAACAGAGCTCTTTTTATTTGTTGATCCGAACCAAAAGTGGCTGTTTAAGCTATTTAACCATTTGTATACTGCAACTTGCATGATTTAGGCTGTTTTGTGCATCCGTTTAGATATTTGAAGCTCCATGACATTGTCGGCTTCGTTGCGTTGACAGAAGGAGCCTGTTTTTCCCACAATGCAGCGCACTGTTGCTCGTAATCGGAGACAAAAATATGTCGAGGCGAGGCTAGAGGAGCCTGGAGCTACAAGCTGAGAGCCACAGAGGTCTGAGTTCCCACATTCTCCCAGTCTCACCTTTTTCACCTTAAAACCAACATTTTTGACAGGATTTTGTAACAAAATTTAGTTAAGAAAGCAAAAAAATCAAATAAGTGTAGTGTAAGTAAGTTAGATTTATGTTCTGGTTTAAAAAAATAAGGGAAAAAAGGGGGTCTGCATGCAAATCTGCAAAGGGGTGTTGGTGTGAGTGAGTATTTGCTCCCTTCAGAGTTTTGGTGTCCTGATCAGAGGCCCCGCCGCTCTCTTTTTTTTTTTCTCCTCTGTTTACCTGAACCAGTCTGCCCGGGCAGACACCTCCTCCCACGTCTCGGGTTTCGCCGTCATCACCTTGCTATGCGGCTCTCTGTCCCACCTCTCCTCCCCCCTCCCACCCTCTTTGCTGTTGTCATAGGGACGCCCCAAGCGAGACACCAAAACCTGTTCTGAGACAGGCCTTACTGAGGGCGCCGCCGCCTCCCATTGGCTGGTTTCTGTACGGGCGGGGGGCACCGGGGCGGCTCTCAATGCTGCGTGCAGGAAACACTAAACGGACTGAGATTGGATTTTTAATACAAATATTCTTTAGCTTGTGTTTATGTTGCCCAAATGTCTGCATAGTTTATTCTGATAACCTGATAATTTGAATTAGATTTAATATTTTTTGGGGGGTTGGATGTAAACAAACAAACAAACAAACAAACGCGTAGGGGCTAATGGGTGATGTTGTTGTAGAAGGATATTTTACTCTGCTCCATTTTTTTCCCACCCTCTTTGTTCCACTCCCCCCTCCCTGGGTCGTCCTGTTCAGGCTTGTTTGGTCACACAGACTCCATTCATACCTTCTCCACATTAAGGTTTCCTTTTTGTTGCTTCCGCGTGGCACGCACAAATATTTACTGGGGAAATGCGGCTTAATGAAGTTGTTTTTCTGTTCCCAGTGCATGTCCTAAATTTTCTGAGACTTTGAAGTGAAGCTTTATCTGTGTGGTTACCAGTGTGGTCATCATCTTCAGCTTTTTAAAGAACCATTTCAGTGCATATGTGAAGACATGAACGCAGCTTAGGAGGCAGAATGGTCCTCTTTCGTTTGGAAGAAAAGGTTTTGTTTTATCCAGATCTGTTTCAGGGAGAGAAACAGACACATAAGATTGAAATTGATTCATGTTCTCCAGAAGAGCAAAGAGCAAAGACTGACAGACTTCCTGTTTCTGCCTGCATGTTCATTTGATTTGGTTAATACACAAGCCATTTTTGTTCATACTGGATTATTGATTGACCCTCACTGTGATGGTTGGTGATTAAAGAAAGTCCCAGTTTCTGGTAACAGAGACACACTGCTCCACAGTCTCTCTCAAACCTGACTGTTGTCTAGTAAATACTTTGTTTTTAAAGAGTTTTGAACATCCTCCGCATCACTGTTCACAGCGGGCGTGTTTTAACAAGCTTTTATCACAGATCGTGGGTCAAACACATTTGCAATATGTTGTTTGGAAAGTACACACATCAACACAGGTGTGTGTGGGATGGAGGGAGAATGTGGGCGTGCCTTGTGTATAGCTCACGGATACAAAAAAAAGAGCTGTGGCTTTTTCCTAAAATGGCTAAACAAACACACAACTTCTCTGTCCTCATGCGGAATGACGTTGGGTTTAGTTCTGGATTCCTTTTAGCCATAACTAAATGAATATGCAATCCACTGTATTGGCCAATCAGAAAAATGACTGTAATGTCAACAATAGTCAGCAGTCAGAAGTAAAGTCCTGTTTGTGTGTAAGCACTGGTTTGTTTTAATGGGCCACTCACTTTCATAGAAGGTCTAAAGAGAAAAGTTGGCAACCTTCCCATTATTATTCAGCACAGAGAGCCATGTTTACTGTAAATATTCGCAGTGTAAGGGTTGGCGGCAGCAGGTCCTTCGGCCCCGCGGGCTTCTCTGGATTCTGACGCTCTTTGAGGGATGTGATTGCTATTTGCCGAGCAATCGCACGCTCAGCAAATTTGCTTTAAGCAGGGGGCGAGTGTCAAAGTAACGGCAAGGAATTCCAGAAGGAGATTTTCCTGTAGGAGGATGAACAGAGGTACTCACTTCGACTGTCAGTGTTTGTGATGTAATGACTTGTCCATGAAAGACAGAAACTTAGACCCGTCTCGTATTCTGAATTTCCTCCCATAGCTTCTGTTTGGCCCCGCTCAGCCCGATCAGGCTCTGATTTCCTTTAGGCACTGTCGAGTTAACTTTTTACCAAAGGTGTATTTGCTCTGGGAGTGGGACTAATGAACCTTATCAGCAATGCTAATGGATCCTTTACATCATTAAATATTAAGCCAATGGCAGGCAGCAAACGGAGCCGATGCCTTCCGACAGCTCTTGATTGAATAGCAATCAGTAACTCCCATTATTAGGAGAGCAGTAACTAGTCTCATTTTAAGTGTTAGCTTTTTCTGCTTGCAGTTCTTATTCATTTTGGCTGATAAATGTACTTTATGATTGAACCGTGGATACTTTGTTATGGAAGTTTCTTTTCTGACGTATGAAGTCCCAAACTAAGCCATCTGTAATCGAGGTGGGAGGAAAATAGGACAGAGAGGTGGTAACTGTTTATCCGTTAGTTACCTTTTCTTCCTTTTCTTTCACTCACAAATGTACAAATCCAGCTCTCCTAAGAACATTTGACATCTGGATTTTTACCCAGAAGGAACATGAAGAAGTCATAGTAAAAAAAAAAAAAAGACCTTAAGTCAAAACAATCTGAGAATAGAACACAAGAATTGTATAGAAAGAAACTCAAATGATACAAATGTTCTTCTTATGATGTGGAGGTTGTTTTATTTTAATATTCATTCACCTCAAACTTGTGTAAATTCGTTAGAAGATTTAAAAGCACGTTGCAGCGTCATCCTGCATGCGTCACATGACCCGGGCTTTGTTAAGCAAATCGGAGGGTAAGCCCGACTGGCAGCTTGTTTATTTTTTCTTTTTTCTGTGTTGTTTGGTGAGTACTTATGATTCCATTGACGTAAGAGAGAAGCATTGATGTTCCGTTTTTATAACTGGAATTTTAACATTTCACCCTATTGAAGCAG